GAATATTTATTGTCAGCAGCCTGAACTAAAATGTAAGTTTCTTTCAATCGTGAGTGTAGGGAACGCACATACCACAGTGGTATCACAGAACCCATGAGGAGTCCGCCATCAACAGAAAACAGGTTTTCATGTGGTGTTACTGGAAATTCTGGTGGCTACCTGACCAGCTGCCAGATCTTATTGTATTCATAAAGAAGCACGTGTCACTTGATCACAAATGTGTTCGGTTTTGATAACTCTATCTCAACGCAATTTATTTTCCCTGGTATCTCTGTGCATTTCCTTTTATGTATTTAAAATACTTTCTGTGGAGAAGGGCTTTATGGCACAAAAAAGGTTAAGCTCCGGGAGTGATTTACGACCCGAATACCAGCTCGCCTTCACTGTACACACAGGCTGGCTCTCCTCTCCTGTAGCCATACCAGCCACATCCCCCTTGAATCTTAAAACAGCAGGAGTTCTGTTTGCTTGCGCAGTAAAAAGCCCTTCTCCATCCAGACCACCGTTGGCAAATACCGAAACCCAATTTGCCAAAAGAGCGTGAGGACTGTTATGAACAATCGCTGGGTCCACTTAGGTGAACCCTTCTCAAAAGAAAAAAAAAGCAAGGCTCAGAGGGTTGACACAGCAAGGGGAGCCTGTATTCTCCACCCCACCCCCACTCCGAATTTTAGGAATGTTATCTCCCAGCATCTAGTTATCCAATAAGTTGGAAGAATGCAGTAAACCCAGCAGGGGTCTTAGATTCAATCACTGCCAAATGGATAGAAAATACTCTTTCCATTGTAGAGGGAGAAAAGCTCATCTACCAGAGGCCAATCAAATGCAGGAGATGAGAACATGCTTTAAAAAAAAAAAAGTTTATCTTGAGAAATGCATTAGGACTCCAGCTTATCTTTTCTCCCCATCCCTATATTAAAAGAACTACAATGAGTAGATTAAAGATCTACTACCCTCCCCCACCAGCAGGATAATTACCAAAAAACAAAAGGAAATTGAGAAGTCCTCAAGGATTGAACCAGTGGAAAGAAAGTGCCCTTTTTACCAGTTTCATTTTACATCTGAATTCCACAATCTGAGAAACACTTAAGTAACAAGCCTTTAACTCCATTCATAGATGGCAAATTAGAGCTGTAATTAAGTTTCTACTTAATGGAGAGCTAAAAAAAAAAAAAAAAAAAATTTTTTTTCCCCAAGCAGTCTAGGATCAAAATTCCAGGACTTTGCTGAAAGGGAAAAACACAGAAACGAATAAAAGGGGACTGTACAGCCACTAAGGTGTGAGCCCCGCTGTTCACATTGGAGACGTGTTCCATTTGGCCTCAACTGGAACTCATCTTTTAAGCAAATTTGTTACCTCCACGTAGGCAGGGAGCTTTCGTTGTTTCCTCCAGAGGCCCCTAGAACCAAGCCTGACACGGGAACAAAATTATTTGGGGGGGGGGGGGGTCATAAACAGAGGATGGCGGTGATTGGAGAGAGGCAGTTCTTGTCTGGATCTAGACGCTTTTGAAAAATGTTTAGATGCTTTTTAATAATCAGAAGTACAGTAGGTGATGAACAGGGGAACTTCTGGAACTGTCTTCCCCCCATCATTTGTCCAGGGCATTTTTCCGAAGGCCTCCCAGGGCGCATCTCAAAAACTAAAAGGGAGGCGAGATCATCAAACTCAGCCGGCTCAACACTCACCGTGGCCCCCTCGTCAAAGGAAACAGAAAATTCCCTCCCATAGCCAATTCCTCTAAGACCACGACAAACAGAAGTGGTGGCAAAGCTGCAACCCAACAGATGAGTCAAAAGGAGAACTCAAGATAATGTACTCGAGGTCCCCAGCCTGGTATCTGGCACACAGTGGGTTGCAGATAAAAATGCAGAATTATCTCAGTGGGCAGTTCAGCACCATCTTGACACAATAAGTAAATAAAAACCAAAACAGTGTTAATTTGAACAATATTAATTACCGACCATATTCCCAGTGCACAGCGAGCCTTCCACAGTGGCCATGATCCCAACAGGACACTTATGGCCACTGTAGAATAGAACCCAAAAGCTCAGAGAAATCTGGTAGGTCCCAAGGTTACATCGCTGGAAGTCACACAACCAGACTGCAGCGTACATCTTTAAAACCTTACCAAAAAAACCCAACCTGATTTAAAAAGAGGAAGTAGCAACTCTCTCTCCTGCCTGGGATATGGGTCCCCAACACCCCAGGGCTGAGGAAGCTAGCAGAGGCTGAATGACTTACTATCCTTGGCTTGTGCTATGATCTGCCTTTTACGGAACAAAGGGGCCCGGTGAAAGTTTTGGCCCCTCTCCCTTTCGGAGACACAGCAACATTAATGGCACAAATCAACACATTTCCCTCTCCCCCAATTAAAATGGGAGCTCCCAAGTGCCCTATTCTCAGAACCCTTACTGGCCAATGTAGGTCATTTCAGCTTAGAAACTGGGGCCAGGCCGTTATTTGAAACTTGGGAATCTTAATCGTTGAAGGTTGTAATCCAGTTTAGCACAAAGGGCATTTGAAACTCTTTTGAGAAAATGCTAATTTCCCTGTGAGTAGCTGGAGGCCCCCTGACCACCTGCAGATGTTTTGATCTGCTAATTGATCGCCAAACTTCATTTTCCTCCCTCAAAAACCGGTCTTCATTCCAAGTGGGTCTCACATTGGCGCTGCGAGGTAGAATCGGCCACACGTTAACGGTAACTTACACATGTCTATACATCTGCCTATCTAACATAGCTGTACCTGTGTACTCAGACACAAGCGGACTGCTCAGATGCAAACTGCAGCCATTAAATGGAAATGTACCGCTTGGGAAAACTACCTTCTGTTCCACGGTGTACCTGCGGACCCTGCAAACACATCCTAGGGTCGAGGAATTCTCTCCAAGAATTCCAAAGACTTGGCAAATACCCGGCACAGCCAGGGATCCCGCAAGCAACTGGCTGGGGGCCGAGGGGCGCCCATGGTTGGCCCAGCCCAGCGCTCTCCATTCCCCTCCACAACCCGTCCCCCATCAGGTGCGAGCCGGTACCTGCGAGGGGACCCCTCTCAGCAAATGGTGCGGCTCCAGATTGGGCCTCCAGGGGGCGCCCGTGCACAAGTCGGCTGCCGGCCCCAACCCCAGCGATCAATAGCGACCCCCGCCCTCCCCGAAATAGTGGAGGGAGCGCCCTGTAGGCCTGAGACCTTAACCATCTCGGGTTAACTGATTGTAAACTCCAGCCATCGTTAATTTAAGAAGCCTCCCCCGTAATAAATTCCCCCTAAAGGTGCCAAACACCCAAAAGTTCCACCAGCGTGCGCTCACCCAAAATGAAGGGGGAAGGGGAGGTCAGAGCAGGACCAGGGGAGGGGTCAGAGTCAGGAGCTCGCCCCTCCTCTCCGGAGGAAGCGGGCGGGCAGAGGGTTAACCCTTTTGTTCCAGGTGGGCCAGGCGACGAAGCCTCTCCATGCTCCCTCCACCCCACCCCCCAGGCACAAAGAGAGCCCACCCTCCTGGGACCTCGGGTGCTCGCTGCCGGACCATCAGACGCCCCAAAACGCACAGCCCGCTCCCCTCAGTCAAGCCAATCTCTTTAATTGCCCTGGAAAAATGTGATTTCGAAGGTAGTAGGGATTTATGTGAACCCATTATAATATATTTGGGAAATGTATTAATGCCCTCCTCCCCAAAAATGAGGACAGTAATCCAAAAGTTGCAACCGGCGATCGCCTTCCTGCCCGAGTTTTACCTCGGAGTGTCTGGAGTGGCCGCACACCCCCCATCAACGGCTGAGAAATTATAAAGCAAGCGGCGACCAACAAGGCCCAAGAGGAGGTTAAAGCGCACCCTCCCCCATGCGTACGCTAAAAACTTATCAGGCGACAATTTGGCGGGCCGGGACGGAGGGGAGATAGTGGGAGATCGACTCGCTCCTAAAACCTCCTCTACTAAGTGACCAGGAGGGGGGGAGTTTGCACAGCCGCTCCGGGCAGGGCTGGGGTCCCGAACTCCTCCCGACCCGGGAGACGCTGGGCACGGAAGCGTGGGCCGGTCAGCCCTGGCCGTGATCGCCTAGCCTTGGCCCGACCTCTCCCCTCTGGCCCCTGGTGGAAAGCCGGGCGCCCCAGTAAAGCCACGCAAAACGCCCGGCCGGTGCACCCCGGCGGGGCTGCCGCGCGCCCGCGACCCCGGCGCCCGGGGGCCCGCACCCTTCCCGCAGGCCGTGGCTATTTTAGGAAGTCGGAAATCAAAGATGGCTGGAGGTCAGGCCCCGAAAGGTTAGGGCGAAAATCGGCAAGAGGCGTAGCCCGAGGGAAAAAGCGAAAACCAAAAATGATTAAGAAAAAAAAAAAGAAATATTGGGCCCTTCTCCCCCACCTCCTCGGGCCCTCCCATCCCCTTTGCAGCGCGGGTGGCCCGCACCCCAGCTCCTGGGGGTGGGGAGAGGTCGTGCCCCCTCCCCCCGCTTGGCCCAGGAGGGGCGCGAGCAACAGATCGCCCTCCCCCGGGGGGGGTCTTCCAAGGGTGCGCCGCTCCTCCGGACTCTAGAAAAGTCCCCAAGGGGTGAGGGAGAGAGTGGGGACCCCCGGGGTCTTTCTTTGAAAAGCGGCGCCAGGGAGGGAGGAGGGGAACCTAAGTTACAAGTGGGGGGGGGAGGTTACTAGTGAGGGGAGTGGAACCAATTAAGAGAGGGGCAGAGGACAAGGAGAAGGGAACCTTTCAGGAAAGAGGGACACAGAGGGTGGGGGTCAATTTTACAATAAGAAGGGAGAGACCTAGGGGTGAAATTTACACAAGTGAGGGGAAGCGATAAAAATGTAAAATTAACAAGGGCGCCACGGGGCGGGGGTGTGGGGGTGAGGCTGCCTCTCTTCTCTGGAACTGAGCCCCACATCTCGGTTCCAGAATCTGCACTGGAAGCCGCTAGCTCCCCGGAGTCCGCGCCTTCGAGGGTTCCGCGAACATGCGGGAAAGTGCGCGCCCCGGGCGTGCGTCCCCGTCCCCACTCACCCGGCTCCCCCGCCGCCGGCGCCGCTGGGGCCGCATCTGCAAACTCCGGGGCCGGCTGCTGCGGCTGCTGCTCGCCCTGGTCCTCCTCGGAGTTGATGTGTTGGGGTTTCGCCTGCTTGCGCCTCGACATGGTGCGAGCATCGGGGCGCCGGGAGAGCCGCGGTTATTTGCCCTCTCCGCCACAAATTCCTGGAGTTGGGAAATTTACCCCCCTTCGGCCGGAACGCGCATGTCCCAGTAATTATTATTATCAATAATGCATTGCGATTTATCATGAGCCCTGACAGCTGATTGGCCTGGGTCCAAGACCTCAGAGATCATTTAAATAAGCCCTCATTGATCAGGGAGGGGCGAGGCATTCTGGGCTTTGTAGTTCGGCCCTACATGCGACAAAGGCGTGTTCGTCCAGGGAGCGCAACTAATTAGCATCCGGGCTCAGATTGGCTGGATCATGGACGAAATCGGGGGAGGGGGGGACTGGGGGGGTGGACACCCATCCTTCGCTCCAGCGATCTGAGTCGTTGGAGAGAAAATGAAAAAGAATTGTGTACTTAGTAAAAATTAGGGACTTACGTAAAAGTTTTGGACCGACCGTCTTTGGTTGTGTGCCCCCAAAAGTGACTTTTGTAAGGTTGATATCCTCGCAAGCCTTGGAGGATGGTCTTTTTAGTGGCTCAATAGTTACATCTACCAAAAATCCGAAAAGCAAACAAAAAACTGAGATGTGACCTGTGTCCCCTTCCATCTTCTTGGTTGAAATGTTAACATTGAGTTTCGCGATGCCCGAAGAATAGTGAAATGGTGGGTAATTCTACCTTCTCGCTCTATCTCAATTCATAAAATGGCTTTCGGATTTCCAAAATTTCAGATTATTCCCTCACCATAATTTATTTACTTTAAATGATAAATGGCCCCCAGAATTCACAGTCACAAAGATTAGTTTGTTGTTATAATACCACCTTGATTTTGGTTTGATTATTTTTTTAAAACTTTAAAATTTCTAAATATAGAAAGGGCAGATTAAAAATGAGGAGTCAGATAATATCAAAAGAGCACACAATTGCATCCCCCCCCACAGCAATAAATGTCTGGTAACATCATACTTATACTCTACTTTACAGATTTTATTACATCACCTGTGGAAGCAGTGTGCCGGGTGTTACTAAACTAATCATTACTGAAATTTTTGGCAATATAGACAATTATGGAAAAGGTATACAGTTCAAAATGATTGCATCATCCCAATATGAGGATATTTGGAATTTTCTAAAAGTGTGTGTAAGTACAATATTATACGCATATACAGCTAATCTCTCTGTATTTAATTCCATTAACTGCCTTACACAATGTAAATACTTAATAGATGCTGAATAAATGTGAAATCTTCCACCTTCTAAGTCTTTGATGGGTGTTTTCATGCCGCCTCTGGGCATTTGTCTTTATTTGGCATTTACTTCATTAAGGGGCTGCAGCTATAAACCCTCTCTCCACATTTGTGCATTGCATTTTCTTGATTAGTTATTCATCAGGTTCCCAGCTTGTAAGAGTTTCTTGTAAGCTCATCAGGAATGCAAGCAAACTAGAATGCTGGGCTCAGAAGTATGTTCACCTGGGTATCTGGACAACCCAAGGCAGAATATAAATCAGCTTGATCATCGTTTTGATACTCATGGCCGTCAACAAAAATTTACTGAAGAAAGGAAGGTTAACCTGCAGTTTTTGGAGTCTCTCAACATATTTTGCATTGTTTTATCTAAGTCCCCTAATGCAAAAAAGATAGAACTACACTCAACAGCCGGAGTTGGAAAGGCAAGAATTTGGTTTAATAATACATGGAAGCCTTTAGAATTCTTATACTGAGTAACAAAGCCAATTAACGCCCGCCTTGCCGGCTAATCTGCTTGTATTCCTAACACCTTTTCTGTGTAAGACAGTGTGGCAGGAGATGTAATTTACCAGTCCACACAAGTGTACAGTAGGTTTACAGCTCAAGAAATAGCAGTGGTTGAAGAAACAATGTATAGAGGAGATCGCTGTTTGCATTTCTTGATTTTAGTTGGTGATAGTTAAAACATGTTCACCGTTTCTTCTTTGAACAACTTGTCACTGGAGTCTCCAAGTGATAATAATAGTAATAATTGAAAATGCAATGCACAAATGTGAGAGAGGGTTTGTAGCTGCAGCCCCTTACAATGAAGTAAATCCAATAAAAACGAAAGCACCCATCAAAGACTTACAAGGCTAAAGATTTCACATTCACTCAGCATCTACTGAGTATTTACATTGTGCAAGGCAGTGAGTGGAATTAAATACAGAGAGATTTGCTGTATTGCTGAATATGCATCTAAGATAATACAATATTGTACTCTCACACACAACTTTAGAAAATTTGAAATATCCTCATATTGGGATGATACCATCACTTTGAACTATACAACTTTTCCATAATGGTCTGCAAAAAATTCCAATAATGACAATAATAAAAAAAACCCTGGTATGTGCCCAAGCCTCGCTAACTGCACACTTTCTTGTTTGATCTTCCTGCGGAGATTGGCGTCGTTTTCGTCCATTTTGAAAATGAGGAAACTGAGGCTCAAAGGTGTGATGTGACTTAATTAGGGAGTGGAGGAGCGGGTGGTCAATCCCTACTCCAAAATCCTTCCAGTCGCCCCCGCCCCCCATACCTGTCCTCCTGCTGTAGCTCAATACACATGGGACAGCCAAACAAGAAACAATTGTGGGGAAAGAAAACGTGTGACATTAAGCCTGGCCTGGAAAATCCAAGGTCTGGAGAAATGAATTCCACAGATAAAGTCAAGGAGGGGTCTTCCTCAAGTAGACCCTTCCGTGAACATCATGGCAAAACGAAAAGGGGAACATGGGCGTTCCCGGCATGTCGTCGGTTTGGCTCAAATAAGCTCTTATAAAAATTTTTAAAAAGAAAGATACAGTAGACATTTTGAACCTACCTCCAACATATAATCAAAGGTAATTTTTCTGATTATTTATTCTTCCTTAAACCTCGGTGGGACCAGGGAGGGGAGAAAATGATCAGAGTAAAGGATATTAAACTCTTTAATGCTTTTTGTTTGGTGACTGGTTTATATAATCCGATCCTTCTCCCTGTCCCAGGCAGAAAGTCACTTGTCATATCTTTTAGCAAGCAGTCTCTGAACACGGAGGTTTTTCTGTTTGAGGCTATTTGGGATACATAATCTTGTTTCATCCTCATTAAAACCCAGTTTTATTCCCATTTCACAGATGGAAAAATAAGCTCAGATCTCTCATCACCACCTTGCTGAGTGTATGAATTCAGCAACTTTCCAGTTAAAGGATACAGGTCTCCGTGGAACACAGGTCTTCTAACTCTTTCCACAAAGTGCCTCCTCTGCTCTATCCTGCAGGGAACATTCTTCCAATAAAACGGGCATTTCCTCATCCAAATGAGGTCCTGCCTATTAGTGTTTATAGCACAGTTCAAAATTTATCATTACAGATTTAATTGTATATCCGTTTATCGCTTGTTTTTCACACCTTCACCACTGTGTCCCTAGCACTTGGTCATGGTAACGGAACACAGAAGTCACAATAAATAATAATGAATCAATCAATCAATGGTGAATGACTTTGGGGGCCTGAATGTAAAATAAAGTGTTACAAGGCAATTACCATCGGTGGGAATGTAAACTGGAACAGCCACTATGGAAAGCAATGTGGCAACATACCCTCCAAAAAAATGAAACAGAATTACCATATGGTCCAGCAATTTCACTTCTAAATATAGAGGCCCGAAAGGATTGAACAGCAGGGCCATGAAGAGATACCTGGACACCCATGTTCATTAGCAGCATTATTCGCAAAAGGTGGGAGCAACCCAAGAATTCACCAACAGGTGAATAAACAAAAGGTGGTCTATACACACGATGGAATATTATATCAGCTTTAAACGTAAAAGAAACACATGCTACCACCTAGATGGACCTGAGGATATTATGCTAATTGAAATAAGCCAGACACAGAAGGCAAGTACTGTATGATTCCACTTACATGAGGGACCGAGAGTAGTCAAAGTCATAGAGACAGGAAGCAAAATGGCGGTTATCAGGGCCTGGGTGGAGGGGGGCATGGGGAGTCATTGCTTAATAGGAATGGAGTTTCAGTTATGCAAGATAAAAAGAGTTCTGGAGATTGAACCACATTTAAAAACAATTTTTTTATTTATTGATTGATTGATTTTTTAGGAAGAGAGGAAGGAAAAGAGAGAGAGAGAAACATCCACTCATTTATGCATTCACTGATTGCTTCTTGTATGTGCCCTGACTGGGGATCGAACCTGCAATCTTGGCATACCAAGACGATGTTCTAACCAACTGAGCTACCTGGCCAGGGCCTGAACCACAATTTGAATGTACTTAATACCACTGAACAGTACAATTAAGGAGGATTAAGGTGGTAAACATTTGTTATGTGTATTTTGGGGGGGTGGGGGAGGCAATAGCAAACTGATGGTGTCCAACTGTTTAAATTTATTGAAGATCATCAAACTGTACACTTACAGTGGGTGGATTTTAGGATATGTAAAGCATACCAAAATGAAGCTGTTTTTAAGAGGGCAATTAGATATTTAGCTGTCCCTAGAATTGAAAGGGCCATAATTAAGTGGGTGGTTTTTCCTATGTGGGATTCCCAGCATCTCAAGCTTGAAAAAAGCAGTGGCCAGGCTGGCATCCGGAAGTCATGATCTGCCCCTGCAAAGAGATTGCCCCTTTGGGTCTCTAAGTATTCATGCCAGGAAGTGACCAAGTGGCCCAACGTGGTAACTACTGATGCTTTAATTCGGGAAATGTACGGTTTGGGTTCGGGAAGGATGAAGCGTTGTGGGCTTTGTCTCATGGACCAACTCTTGGAGGCTGTGGACTTGCATCGATTGGATATCTGACTGCCTGCCATGGAAGGCTTTATGTCTGGGAGGAACTCTTCAAATTCTAGAGATTTAGAAGTTGAGCTAAAATGCCTTGAAATCATGCCTGTAATTCACTGGGAGTGCTTTGTTATGGGGCCAAATGTCCCCTTTTCTGAGTGTCCTGGCCCAGAGCCCTTCTGTTGGCATGATTTATGGCTGCAAAGTCT